GGATTTAGGCAGAGGGTTGCAGCACGTGTCGTCTATCAAACTCGTTTATTTGTGACGAGCGCAGAAGCAAGGAGGAAGGAGAGCAAGCGGCGTTTTTTGTCGGGGGGGAGAGTGGTTGAAGTGTGAGGCCCTGTCGCGGCAATATTTTTTACCGTAGCTAACGCATGTCTGGTCGTGTTGTTGCCAGTAACAACGGTGAAGGGTGGATAGCAGAGAGACGGACGGGTTGATGGAGAGCTTGCATTGATCGATGAAGGTGTAAGTTCTCTTGCTGGCCGTAGTATGTTTTTATTTTTAGGGGCATGTGTGTGCCGCGGTAGTTCAGACGCTTGTAATATAGCATGCACGTCGAGGTTTCCTCCATTAGGCAGACTTTGATTGCAATACGTCGGGAATTGTCGTAAGCTGAACCGGAACGTTGTTGTAAAAACAGAATGCGTGTTCTAACACGTGTGTCTGGAGACTTTGATTGCAATACGTTGGGAATTGTCGTAAGCTGAACCGGAACGTTGCTGTGGCTACAGAATGCATATTCTAACACGTATGTCAAGAGAGTGGGACCAAGAGCGGGGAATACGGGAGGGATGTTGTTGTACAGATCATACCTTGACCACTTCTAACGGACAGTCCATACATGTTTCGCGCGGGAATAGTAGCCCCGAAATCAATATTGTCTCGTGGAAGGGTACAGCGTGCTCTGCCTCCGCTACCATGGTGGGAGTTGCAGGCCATACCACCAGCTCGCTTGTTTCGTTTTTTGTTATGTATCATATCAGTTGCATCGCCTCCTAGTCGTGCGCGGTTTCTCATTGTCTTTTCTTTCTACTGCAATTTCATGTATGGTACATTGGTGCCCGGTGGGCGAGGGTGTATGTTTTTTTCTTTAAACTCTCGATAGTACCCCTGGGCACGGATGTCTTTGAAGACTTACATAGTTAAGGCGTCGATGGCGTTTATTGATAGGTGAGGAAAGAAAGAATACAAATTGGACTCAATCGTTTGCCGACTGTGTATTTAGAGCCAGACGCCGAGAATCGTATCGAATGGCTTGTGACTGCTGTAACGCTCACTGTTTCTTTCGAGTTGAGATTCCTTGGTCGCCGTCGGTGGCACGATGCATCGAAGGTGCCAGAACTCTTGCATTGTTGATAGTTTCAGGATTGGGGAACGGGTGGAATTAATGAAGTTGTCAAGGTATGAAAATATTCTGTGGTGCTCTCGAGGGAGCATGGTGTGACTGGGTCACATGATGTATACCCGATATTCCAGATGCGGCTGGCTGCAAATGCTTGCTGCTCCAATCGAATGGAACAGAAAAGGTTGGGTGACTGTACGGAAGAGAGGTGGAGGTGGCGCTTGTTGCTCAAACCTTGCGCCTGCACTCACGCGTTTGTTTTTCCCCCGTTCGAATCCACCCACTACACCGGAAGTTGGGGGAACCCTTGTCCATAACTTGATGTCCCCAACAACACACCACACATGTCTTCTGTTGATGACTTCATGCATGTATGGTCTAGGCTTATCCTCTGAGGAAATCGTTGAACTTGGTGTTGCGAAGCGCGAAGGGCGAACGGGTAGAGGAAATTCGTCCGACGTCGAGCTTGGTTTTGCGAAGCGTGATGGGCGAACGGATACAACTCTCAACATGAAGCTGTATGTAGGAAGACGATTTAGTAGCAGAACACGGGGGGGGGTGAAATTTGCCCCACCCGCTGCTGAAAGCGACCCATCAATCTTGCACACCCGAGTTTGATCCGCCCGGGCCCACTGCCGGAAATGGTGTTTGGTTGTTTTCGGGCGCGAATGCTGAGTCATGTGGCCATCGACCGCGCTCAATCATTTGTGTTCAACAGCGTACATGTCCCGAAAAAATCCACGTCTTTGACGCCCCGAAGGCTTACACTTGACACTGGGCGCGCATCGATGGGGTTTCGAGCACTAAGCACAAATGCTGGCGCTCTACCTTGCATGTTCTGCAGGCTTCAGCGACAAGTCGACATAGCCCCCCTCTGGGTACGGGGTTGCTCGCATGTTGCGCCCTTTTCTTTGCAGTGGTGTCTCTATACGAACGACAAGTAGTGACCGTTTGAAAAGTCATTTAGATTTTTCCCTGCATTCGTTTCGCCAAATCCACAACCATCCCCATCGCGAGCGTCCCCCCAAATTAAACGCAAAACATATCAATAACGTGATGTGGCGATCACAGCCACCCGGAAAGAGGAAGCGAATTGAACTCCACCACCAAGGGAAGTTCCTATTGCTATTTACATCTAGACTACTCTTCTTGTCACCTTGCTCCCAACTTTTCAGAGATTCATGTTCGTACCACACGGTGGAGGGTGAGCAAGAAGCACTCTGCCAATTGAAGCCAATCTGCCACCAATAACGCCGACCCCTCCTAATAATCGTTCGGCGATAACGCGCCGAGAGCTTAGAACATGTGTCTATATTTTTACAGCATCTACCGCCGAATGTTCTTGTTTGAAAGCCAACAGACAGCAATGAAAGTAAACAGAACAACAGCAACGACACGGTACACACTAAGGATTTATACCCTGTATCACACGCACGCCCGTGGACTTCGAAGAACATTGCATAAAACAACCAACCGCATTCCCAGAAACTCCATCTAAACACACCACCCAGTACTTTTTGTTTTGACTGCCATTCTTTTTCACTGTATACACCACCACGCTCAGCATGCATTCCTTCGCAGCAAACCAACCAACCAGCGGAGGACCTTTTCCGCCTCAGGCACACAGCCTCGTTACCACTACGTCAACAACCCTGGCTTTTGTTGGTATCCTAAACAAAATACTACTTCATTCAGCGGTAGCGCCTCTCTTCAACACATACTTCCCCGCAACAAGTGTGCAGGAGAGTCGTTCAGTAGTAGGGGTCCTTGTAGGTGGTCTTCTTCGTCACCGTGTGCTCCCAAGACCGGTCCCCGTCCTCGTTGTACTTCGTCTCCCACCATCCCTTGCCCTTCTCCTTCTTCTCGTCCTTTTCGTCGTCCTTTTTCTTGGCGGAGGGGGCGACGGCGAAAGGGTGCAGTGCACCACCGGGCATCGGCGAAGGCGTGAAGACCGCGCCGCCGAGGTAGCCCATGGGCGACGGGTTGACCGTCCCAACGGGAGAGACGAGGCCTCCGCCGAAGCCGTAGGTCCATTCGCCTGTAATGCTGTGCTGCCTGTTTTATTTTTGTCAAGTTCGGTGCGGGAAAGGGAAAAGGTGATGTTGAGGGCAACCGCGAGGTTCGGCGGGGGGGGCACATAGAAAGCGGCGTCCTTCCTTCTAATCACTGCTGCTGCTGTAGTACTGCTGTCACGTAGATAATGGACGCAAGCGTGAATGCGTGCTTGTTGACGCGAAGACACCAGTAGTTTCGAGACAAAGTTTACACCTACATGTGCCATATCTACAAGCAAGTACGTGTATACGCAAACGCTATCTCTGCAGATTGAATTACATGCAGCTTCCCGTAGGTGGCGTAAGATATCACACCCCCTGCATCGATTTTCAAAGGCCGATTACTCCACAGCAAAGAGAGATCCTGACGGTGCCGAAAATGGTGGTCTCGTGGAGAGAATTCCGAACATGTATCGTTTGATTTATTTGTACATCTTCTGCGTCGTGGAGTAAGGAACACTTTGAAATCTGCCCAGGGGATATCCACAGCGCAGCAATAAATTCTGGCACCTACGGTATGTACAGGCGACAGCAGCGAGCGGTGCTCCCACCCAAGTACCTCCACAAAGTACGTCGAGTGCAATGGGTTTGCGACATTTTGGCCATCACCAAACACCAAACCAGCACAAACACCCAGGCACCAAGTCTACCCATCGAACGCTCCCTGACGCTGCGCAATTTGACATGTAGCCAGTGACCGCCTACCGTGAGCAAAATCGCAAATCGCAACGTTTAATACCCCGAGGTTTCAATTCCCCGAAGCCACTCACCAGTACGTCCTGCCGTACGCGTCAGTGAGCATGTCCCATCTTCCCTCGTCTTTCTTTTCCTCCTTGTCAGAGTTCTTCGCGTTCTTGTTCGCACCTGGTGTGGGAGGAAGAGTTGAGCAGGAACAACCGCAGTACACTAGTTAGACGTCAACATGAACGCAGGAAGGTTCCAACATTGCGTGCCAGACCACAAAAAGACTGAAAGGCTCGACGAACTTGCATGCACGCAATAATAGCCTATAGACTATGTGTTCCTACAAAGTGGTGCGCCGTTGTTGTAGACAAGCGCGGCAGTCGGAAGTGTGCAAAGCACGGCAAAGCCATAGGTTGAAGCGAAACGCACGTAAGGAAGCTGGGGTTTGCTTACCATTCTTGGCCGCCTTCTTGGCCTCCTTGCGGCGCCTGTTGTTGGCCAGGACCGCGAATCCGTTCGAAAAGAAAGACATGAGTCTATATATGCTTTCGCTGTTGGTGCTTGCTGTTGTTGCTGCTTGCTGCTGGGGTGGTGGTGGTGGTGTTGTTGCACTGCCAAGCTGCTGTGTGCTTGGTGTATGCTTTGTATGAGTGCTGGTTGGGTCTGGTACTTGGTGTGTTTCCGTGTGCGTGCGGTCGGATGAGGTTGTGAGACCGAGAGGGGGGAGAGGAGCGAGGGCGCAACCGATCTTCTTGATCGGAAATAAATCTGGCCGCATCCTGGAACCTAAGAACGGTCCTCACATTCTCATGGCTCTGCATCGTGCAACAGAACTATCCGAGAAACATTCTCAAGCAACAAAGGAACGGTTCGAGAGGGGAAAGAAAGTGGAGCGAGGGCGCAACCGCGTTTATGTTTGCTCAAGAATTCTGGATTATTTTTTCTGCAGGCAACCAAAGAAAAACCAAGACACATGAAACAATTGGGAGCACAGGTAAAATGCCGTCTTGCTCACAACGTCTACTTATCGGACTTACCCGTTGCAAACTTCCCAAGATTGCCCTACTATCATTTACTATTGTTTCGGCCTCTGGCCTCAACATATCTTACTTATAATAAACTACCTACACGGTACCGCCTAGTCGTCGACCGACTAGACCCCCCCATACTCCCCCCTCTCTTGAGCGATAGGTGTGGGTGGGCGGGAAAATCGATCAAATCCTAAACTGCACTCCGTGTTTGCTGCTCCTCAAAGCTGCTATCTCTGCTACTCCTCTCCTTCTCTCAAATGCACTTGCTTGTCTCTCGCCCAGCGAGAGCACAAAAACTTTCTGACACCAGGGCTGCCTCTATTTTTCTTCGATCCCCGCTTTTCCGAATTCCAACACGCCTCCACAAACCACAGATTCAAATACGTACTGAATCTTCACGATCTTCTATCTTCTTGACCGGAAATCTGGCCGCATCCTGGAACCTACGAACGGTCCTCACATTTTCATGGCTCTGCATCGCGCAACAGAACTATCCGAAAAACCTTCTCTAGCAAAAATAGGTTGAGTTCTCCCATCTTTTCCAAAAAAAATATCCACGTCGCGCCGGCGTACCGCGCCCACACCTTCACACAACTCACATCGGCAAGACGCAACGCCACCATCCGCAGCAGAGCAAAGCCTCGCAAAACTCCGCAAGCAGTGCACGTCGCACGTACTCAGTACACTTCACCACCCCAGCCTTCGCAGCGCATCAGCAGCAGCACTCATTAACGGGTGACACAGCATGTCGTTCTTCACGAAAGGACTCGCGGGCATCTTCAACAACGGAAAGGCTCGCAAGAAAGGTGACTTTGAAGTGCGTCGACGATTGCTGTGCATATCTCTGGCGTTGCTGCTGCCTCTCACTGCTGCTGCTTCAGGTTCATTCGCGAGGTTGAAGCCTCTTGCTGCTGATGGTTGGCTGCATGTATACTACAGCTGTAGTTCGTTGCAGCTCCACACGGCCGTTTCCTCAAAATTCCAAACTTCGTTGACCCGCGTTGTGGCCGCTCCTGACTCCGTCCTCCGTCGCTCTCCCTCCACCCCCTGCGCGTTCTCACACACAGACGAAGGAAAGGGCTGTGACAAGAAGAAGGACAAGAAGGACGAAGGGAGCTGGGAGGAGCTCACGGACGCCTACGGCCGCACGTACTGGTGAGAGACCCGACGAGACACAGCAGCGATGCGAAAGTGGCGGTTTGCCTTTGGTCTCCTCACTTGGCAGAAGCATTTCTAGCCTCGGAATTCCGAGCCTTGTTCGACCACTGCATGCTGCTGCTGTGCTAGACTAGAGCAGTACTGCTACTGCTGTATATAGAGCTGCCTCAACGGGATGACGAGTACTTCGAAGTACACGTAGATATTCTTGCTGGCCTTAACAACATATTCGCCTGATTGAGAGCGTAGCATCTGATTGAGAGCGAGATTGCGCGATACGCTGTAGCCGGACTACCACTGAGAGGTGGAGCTTGCTGTGTAGCTTGAATTGAAGGGCTAGCCCGTAGCTTCAAGCCGCTACCCTGGTCATCCTGTGGGAGTCTCTCGTTGTGGAGCTACAGCGGGGAGCAGAAGCTACAGCAGAGCCCACCGCCCGACGCGATACCGCCCTGAAACAGTTTGAGCAGAAATAGCCAATCTGGGCAAATCTAGCAACTTGTCTAGCTCCTCGCTGCAGCATCCGATGACGATGACACGCATATGCTCGCGAAGCTGCTGATGAGACCTTCAATTTGCACCGCTTCTTGGAATAGCCCGTCCCCTACTTGCCAAGAAATGGCAAGAGGCGTCTGGACCCGAAATTTCAATTTTTTTGGCTCTCGCTCTCAATCAGATACTTCGCTCTCAATCAGGCGAATATGTTGTTCCTTCCGTTCCAACAAAAGGCCACCAGTTGGAAGGTTGCAAGTACTCTACTTCCACAGAATCTGCCCGCGACTTTGCCAGTTCAACAACGACAAGGTTCGCGGGAGAATCCCGCGTTCAATATACTTGCGTTTTCTGCGCCGGAGCACGGCCCAACGTCCAACTCTATTCGTACCGGTTCAATGCGGGCACGTCAACAACATATGCTAACGATTCACGTGCGTTTATCCCTGGATAACGACCGAGGTTAGACAAATGATCTACAGGTCTGGAACAACAAGTTCGTTGGGCGTTTCGCCTTTGGCTTGCCCCACACAACGATGCGATAGGCCTTCCTGCCCAATCCGACACACTGATTTTGATTGTTTTTCAGTCTTCAACCAGTTTTTTGCCATGCTGCTCGCGAAGTTCAGCTTGTAGGGCATGTGCAAGCTGAAGCCGGCTACTCGATGTGGAGTATTTGACCCCCCCCCCCCCCCC